TTCCCCGGTTTCTCCGTGGCATCCCAACAATTACTCCATTCACACACAGAAGAAGGCAATGGCAAACCACTTCTGGATCATCTGCCAAGAACGTATATGAACAGGTCCCAGTCCGAGAAATGGATGGAAGGATCCTGTTCATATGGACCTGTCGTCAGACAGAACACTACAAATAAAAAAAAAATGTTAAACTTGGATCTGTCTTGTCCCCGCGTCCGAATTGGCATTTGGTTCCAGATTTGAAATACCAGTTGGCATCACATAAAAAGTACAAATCGATTATTCTTGAATGGAATATTTATGTATTTATTTACGTTTATACATGTAAGTCATATAATGGCTACTAATGAGATGATAAATTGTGATAAATATATATTTGTTTAAATCTTGTCAGTCTAATCACAATAAAATTCCTATTAAATATTAAAATATTACATAAGTGACATTTAAATATTTAAAATATATTAATGATGATCTCTATCGAAATGATCTAATGTAAATCGAACATTTCGATAGAGAACATCATTAATATATTTTAAATATTTAAATGTCACTTATGTAATATTTTAATATTTAATAGAAATTTTATTGTGATTAGATTGACAAGATTTAAACAAATGGATACTAAACAAACTCTCTCAAATTTCCTATTTACTTATGGAACTGAGAGAACTGAGATACTGACAAAGAAACGTGAAAAGTAATTAAAGTTACCTGGTTCGAACTAATACGCAAAATTGAGTCATACTGCAGATTAGCCAATTCAGGCTTTAATTTGTCTGGAGCGTCTCTGACATCAACGGATAATGAAATAATTTTCAGAGGTACCGATATATTTGTGACTTGGTTACGTAAGTGGTTTAATTTCATTTTAAATTTTATCCAAAGGATCAATAATTTCTACAACACAAACTTGGTTTGTAATGCCTAGATTTATATACTTTCAAACAAAGACAAAAAAATGTCTTCGTAAAACGCACACACGCTGGTTTATTATCGAGAGTTGTATTCAATATTTAATTT